CCAAACATGTCCATTAAATTCACAGCCACAGGTAATCCGCAAAACCAGAGCAAAGAAATCGATGGAGAAACAAGGGGAAAGGGTCCAGCAACAGCGGGTGGTGATGGTGGTGTATCCGTTTCATGGGCACATAAGTCCCATGATCCACCTAGCCACCTTTCTTCACTCAAAAGGCTTCTCAATCACAATAGTCCACCCTCAATTCAATTCACCAGACCCTTCAAGCCACCCAGAATTCACCTTTCTTGCAATTCCAGATAAGCTGTTAGAGTCTGGGGTCTCAAATTGGAATTTTACCGGAATTGCCTTGACTCTCAACAGGAACTGTGCAGCACCATTGCAAAACTGCGTGGAACAAATGTTGCTTCAGAATCCGGATGAGAATATTGTTGGTATTATATATGATACCGTTATGTTTTTTGCTCAATCTGTAGCTGATCATCTGAAAGTACCCGGAATCAGCGTTCGCACCAGCGCGGCTGCCACAATTTTAGCCTTTTCTGTCTTTCCTAGTCCCCATGGAGAAGGTTACATCTCCTTTCAAGGTATATTCCTAGCTAGAGATAGAAAAACTTTTAAAAGGATCATGTTTGGTCGAGATTTTAGCGTTTTTCTTAAGAAAGGTTCTAGAAATTAGATCAAAATCAAATAGGCACTTACAATATAAAATTTCTTTTTGAGTTGCAGATTATATTTCTGGTGATGGAATTCAAGATCCTCAATCCTTTTCGATCAAGCAACTTCTTGCCTCTTTACCTGAAAATCCCACCAATTCCACGGAGTTGAGGATCGCATTAACAAGAGAAACAAAGAAAGCGTCTGCCATCATTGTGAACACAATGGACTTCCTCGAACGAGAAGCACTAGCAAAGATTAGAGAACAATTCTCACCTTCAATTTTCACCATAGGCCCCCTTCACAAATTAGCCCCTACAGGTTCTGCTTCGCGGCTCAAGGAAGATTCTAGCTGCATTTCTTGGCTTAATAAACAAGCCCCAAAATCTGTGGTCTACGTAAGTTTTGGCAGCCTGGCTGCAATGGATGAAGAAGATCTAGTTAACACGGCTTGGGGGCTGGCAAACTCTGACCAGCCATTCCTATGGGTAGTTAGACCTGGTTCAGTCCGTGGGTCTGAATGGATTGAGTACCTGCCAAAGACATTCCATGAAAGAGTTGGAGAAAGAGGCAACATCGTGAGATGGGCACCACAAAAGAAAGTGCTGGAACATAGTGCAGTAGGCGCATTTTGGAGCCATTGTGGATGGAATTCTACCCTTGAGAGTATATCTGAAGGCGTGCCACTGTTATGCAAGCCTTTGTTTGGGGATCAGATGTTGAATTCAAGGTATATTTGCAACATATGGAAGGTAGGGCTGGAATTGGAGAAAGGGAAGATTGCAGAAGGTATAAGAAGACTAATGAAGGATGAGGAAGGGATGGAGATAAGGAAGAGAGCAATGG